CGCTTTAAACACTAGGCTACCCTACTGCCCCTTAAGTGGCTGGAATAATACTGAGTATAGTGTTGAACTAACAAACAGACAAAACCATGAAAGCTCTGATATTCTCAGTTGTTTGAAGACAGATCACCCAGGAGAGAATCACTTGCTTTGTTACTACTGTTTAACAAACCCTTCAACAAATGAATGATTAACATTGAACATACATTGAAATATAAACTGACTGGAATCTAGTTATTGCGTTTTATGACAAAGACTGTTCTCTTTTTATTTGTCCATGATATCCAACAATGCCTTATTCCATAGCAATATTCCCTGGTGAGTATTGACAATGATTCAACAGTTAGAATTTATATTTCAACTTCACCATGGGTGGGCTTTCAGTTTGTCGAACACCTGCTGACATGTTGTAGGGTTTAAAACACATGATCTGATTGTACCATGGCAACAAAAGAATGTGCTAGTAGGTTAGAGAATGTCTAGATTAATCGATGGAATGAACCGTACTTTCCATTCAAGAACAAAGAATGGTTTTATTCAGGTTTTGACTATGGAACTATAGCTCTTGGTCTTGATTGGTTTTGTTGTGTATTTTCTGAATTAATATACAGAATTTTTGTCGGATCAGGGTCATATACAATGTGTCACACAAATATGTGAATAGCAATGCATTTGAATGGAAGACATCCATTATTGCATCCACCGAGTGTATGAATTAGTCACCAGTTATGCATTATTTGGAAGTATAGAATTTCAAACTGAACACTAGTCTTTCAGAGTTCAATGATAACCTCCATTTGTATTGTAAATGCTACTTTCCTGATCACTGAAATTGTAAAGTTTGAAGGCTGAATTTTTGTGCCATTGGGTGAATGTGATGAAACAGATTGCCACTTCACTGATATAAAAACAGATATGCCTTGATTACTAAGCATGATCTTTGTCTCAAACAATAAGTCACTTTATGAAAAGGTGAAAAATAATGCATTTTCAGGCAAAGAGTACAACTGACGACATATGGTCTCTGATTTGACTCAATGATGTTTCTGGACTGATGCCTGATTGGAAATGAATAATAGTTAACGGAAAAGGACTTGTAAAATGTTTTCTTGAAACAGTGATGGCACAGATGAGTTGGTTCTCAGTTGAATCGTTTCATGATTGTTTTCCCAGCATTTTTATCGGTCTCATCAAGGCATGCTTCCACAGCCACTGTCGGCCATTCATGATTTGCCTAGAATTATGTGTCTGTTTTCTAAGCCGCTGCTGAATTATTCATCCTTTCCTGAAGTGGAAGTAGACCAACGGGTGTGAAGACTCGCAGCGTCGACTGTGTGGTCACCCGACACATGCATGTGGTCAGGCAGGACACATGCACCATGCCCTGGAAAAATCCCCAGGAATAGACTAATTGTTTCTCCAGCACGCCAGATTCAACCTCCAACCGTCCAATTACAAGAGCTGAATAATTCATTGCACGTTGATGAGTCATTTCCCAAGGTCAAGGCTGATGTAGGCAGGGATTCCCGATCAACGATTCAATCCCTTCCTGATGAAGAGTCGAAGCATTCAATTAATCCCCCCCCAATGAATTCTCCTGATTAATATACTGGCCCAATATCTGCCTGTCATACTGTGAACATTTGCGTATTAATAGTTTTTGTCATGCATCAAATGCCCTGTGTGTTTACAAAGGCTGCTGGGAAACATCTACTAATTGTTGATTGGAAAACGGCACAGGATTAATGGCCATTTCGGATGTTGCCTTTTCACCAGACCCATGCATTGATTTCATGGACGAACACAAGGAAAGGTTTCATCTGATAATGAGACACTCTCTTGTTGCTGGAATTTTAAATCAGAATTTGTATCTTTTATGATATGAAACAAAAAGATAGAAATATAAATTTTTAACAACAAAATTAACCATGCAGGGTACAGAAATTGACATTTCATAATTGATGTATTTACCGATGTGGAATTGTATGGAATCATTTCAAATCGGTCTTGTTCCTGGTTATGGTAACCATAAAAAAAATAAGGAAAATGGCAGCCTCATAAACATATTATAAATATGGAAATATGTTCGTATGAATTAAATTCAGGTTGAATAAATACTGCCTGTTCTGCTGGTAGTGAATTTGTTGTTCAATCTGACTTTGAGATGTACACTGTCATTTGAAATATATCCAAGTACTGTACACGATATAAGGACGCTGTATCCATCGGTTTTATTAATTAGAGAAAAAGTAAGAGTACAAGCTGTTATGAATTATGTATTGTGTATACAAATTACAAATGGATACAACGAAATAGGAATATGAGAGACAAATAAAGCCAGGCCTTTGTAACTTGATATAGATAAGCTATGTATACAAAACTATTTGCCTAGAAACTAAGTGTGGTATCAAATTACCTGTATTACCATAGCAATATTCATATTTAATAGACATTTTGTAAAGTGGTAGGTTTGACATTTTCCTCTTATATTGTGGATGGGAAGGGTTATGAATCGGACTTGGATTTGGACAAAAATGAAATCATCTGTTAGAGGTAATCTGTGTGGAGGTGTAGTGAAATGGTGTTGTTTATTAAGCTTTTGAATTTATTTTTTCTTAAATATGATGTATATGCTTGTGTCATCGTGAGTGTACATGTCCAGCCTGGTGCTAGCTTGCTGAGATGGTGGTGGTGTATGTGGTCCTGTGCATAGAGCTCAGGTCACAAATCAGTTGAAGTTAAGCAACTTTGGGCCCGGTGAGTCCATGGATGGGTGACTGTGTTTGGCAGCTCGACTCCTGAGAGTTTCTAGGACTTCACAACGAAGCACATGTGATACATGTGATCTCACCTTCGGCAAGTGAGTTTGCTCAAAATTGCCTCTGTTCACCCAGCAGAAAATGGGTACCCAGTGGGATAAGTCATGTTACTTTAATTAACCTCCTAGTGCCTCAGTCAGCTTGGGTTATCTGGGGTAATAATAATCAGATTGTGATTTCAGCACCGTTGAACACTGTATGGTGAAAACTAGGCACTATACAAATCCATTATTAAAATTATAAATTATATAGATACTGTGCTGCAGATATCCTATGAATACATTCGACCTCATAGAATCTCAGACAACCTTGCCAGACAGGGTGACAACAAGGGCCATCTTTTAACATTGTTTGGTATGATGTGGCCGGGGAGAGAATTATTTGACTGATGTATGCGTTTGAGTATGTTTGTTTGATTTAAAAGATATGTCTCTCATATTTTTAAACGTTTCTCTAGCTGTAGCCATTTTGCCCTTACACTGAATGGAATCAATTTCTGAGAATAGTCAAAAACTGGGTGTTCTTTTCTACTGACAGTTTTTGCATGTCAATGTGATTTTGTAAGTTGAAATATATTATATGAAGCTGTTAAAAATTGGTGTTTCAGTGATTAAAATAACTGTTATAACTTTGTTTGTCGAGGCGCTGACAGTGCAGGAGTTGTATATGTATTCTTTTTTAACTAGTGTCGTCAGATTCAGATGGTGCAGGGTGGTGGGTTGGCTGAGAGGTTAAAGGGTTCGCTCATCATGCTAAAGACCCAGGTTCCATTTCCCACATGGGTACAATATGTGAAGCCCATTTCAGGTGTCCTCTGACATGATATTGCTGGAATATTGCTCAAAGTGGTGTTAAACTATACTCACTCACTCTGATGGTACAGATTTTGTGGTCATGAAGGTTGACTGAATAGTGTTATGACTGGGATGATGATGTCATTTCATTTATGGAATTGTCTCAGATATTAAAAAGGTCTCAGTACCAGTGTCATCGTTTTCAGTTATCCATTTATATACTACCCATCAAAAGTTTAGACTCACTAGTGTAAATGTAGCCACTTACTTGTCCACTGTTCTAAACTAGCTTTTTGCAAAATATTCCATACTGTTTAAAGGTACTGTTTAGTTATGAACTGGTGTATTGTAAAACATATTCGTAACATTGAAAAGATTATTGTCATGAGTTCAGTAAATAATTAAAATCTGTGAAAATTGGCGAATTCTTAACAAAACTTTACACCAAAACGAATCTGTTCACATGCACGACATTTGCTCATGCCTTTCGCAATTTGAAGCATCATCCTTGTGCAATTCATCTGCATAAGGTTTTCAGTTGGTTCCCCCAAGTTGGTGGAGAAATTCATCTTCGATGTAACCACATACATATACATAACATATAGTGAGTGCTTTAAGTGAGTCTAAACTTTTGATGGGTAGTATATATACTGAGGGATAAGAATAGGGGATCACATGAAAGGACGAGTGTTCCTGTATTTTTTTCCAAGGTTTCTTCACAAGGTTTGTATCACATAGCTTGTGAAGAACCTGGTGAAGAAAATGGGAACACTTGTACTTTCATGTGATCCCTTATTTTTTTCCCTCAGTATATTTGTCACTATTGCTTTCCACACAACTGAATCTTGTTGGGATGAAAATCAGAACGTTGATAGGATGTCATCATAGTCAGATGTCACTGATTCTATTTCTATAGTCCATGTATCAGTGTTCACGAATCATGTTTCAAAGTAACAGGACATTGGGTCCTGTAAGTTTCAGGTGTCTCTCTGACCCATTGAAAATTCACAGGACCCATAGAATAAAATTAAACACACATTTCAGATTTAACATTGTTATAATTGGCATTAAATTATTAACAAGTATAAGATTTACAAACAGCAAACAAGTGTCACATGTCACATATAACAACTTCAGTCAAAGTCATTGTGAAATATACAGTCAGACACTGGGGCCGGCGGGTTGTAGACTTCTATCAGACCTTTTTCGAATCTGCCAGATTTGTCAAAGGGTCAGATGCTATTCGTGAACACTGGTGTATCACTCTGGATTGTCTGGTCCAGACTTGATTATCTGTATGTCAGTTTACATTGAGTACTTGGTTGAGCTTAGTATGAAACAAAAAACAAACAACATACAAATATCTTCATGTATGATTTCTCTGTTGCAGAAGACAGAAAACTGTTTGTGGGTATGCTCAACAAGCAGCAGGTTGAAGAAGACGTTCGTCAGTTGTTCCAGCCCTTTGGGACGATAGAAGAGTGCACCATTTTGAGAGACCAGAACGGAAATAGTAAAGGTGAGCTGCTGAACATAATTTACATCTTTCAGTCCCTGTGTTCAGTAATAATGTATACCATATGAGTTGTTACTATTTTCTGACCAGGGACATGGTGGCCAAGTTGTCTAATATGCCACACTTCACTTTGCAGAGTTGTGTCCCTTAGGCTTACCAGGATCTTATGATCATGGATTCAAATGTGGTTCCCCTGATTATATTTTTGAGAAATGGGCTTCACACATTGTACCCAGGTGGGGAATCGAACCCGGGGTCTTCAGTGTGACGAGTGTGCGCTTTAACACAAAAGAAACAACACTTTAACACAATAAGAAATTGTTCATGTTGTAATCAATTTCTGTTTGAGATTCTTAATACATATTCCCTCAAGCTAACTTGATGAATATGCCTCCTAGACTTCCCTATTTCATTAATCCAATTAAGTACATTAAACACAAACAAGTAAAATTCACAATGGGTGTACAAAATTATATTTTGACCAACCCAATCCATAAATCCATAATCAGTCAAACAGAGGTCTGCCTTGTGTGATGGTTTCAGAAAGTACGTGTCACAACATGTGTGAACCATTAAGTTGCTTAGATACGCTTCCTGATAATCCCAAACCACACGACATATCAAACTTAGGCCTAAGGCAAGCTGGACAGGTTGATCTCCTGTGTCGCAGTGACCTGGCAGAAGTTCCAACTGCACAAGTAATCAGTAAATGTCCCAGCCACTGTTACAGTCATGCTTGTGTGTGGGTTGTCCATCATGAGAGAAAGTACGCAGACTTGGCGAAAGATGTGTCACATTACTAGGAAATATCTCAGTATTGTAACTTCTATTGTACCGTCCTGACACCATCAGTCGATTGTGTGACGGATCCTTGAATAATTAAACCAAATGGCAGTCGGCCATGACAACCATTTTCCATGTTGTCACCGACATCCACATGGATGTCTGTGCTTCTTCATCCTTTGCATTTTTATCCAGAATAATGATGTATTTATTCTAGCCTCATTTCTATTTTGATTCAATCATTTAAAATAATGTTCTTAAAACATATTTAGTCCTCTTGTCCTTCCATCATGTCAAAATTGTGTGAAATTCTTCCATGTTTATTTTGACAAGAAAAATTCTAACTGGGATGACAATTTCTAACATACTATGTTTTTGTTTATGTTTTGTGAAATCTTGATGTGTAATAATCTATATTTTTAACTGGATAAAAACAAAATGCTTGAGATATTACAGAGGAATCTTTATTGTTAGGTTGGATGTGTTCCCTAAACTGGTAGTGTTAGTTGTTGAGAACATGTTCCTTACCAGAAGATGGTACCATTATCCATCATATATTTTTGCCTTAGGGACAATTTATTTATTTATTTTTGTTTTCAGTGTTTTAAAAAAAGGCTCAGGGAAATATTGATGGTTTAATAGACATGACCGTAAATAAACATTTTTCAATATTAAAACCCAAACATTTCCAAATAAATTGCTGTTGACACAAGGTATGTTGACATTCGCAACATAGTACATTGCAAGACTACCTTTATGGCTGAGTGCTTCCATGTGACAATACAACTACAGTAACCTGGCAGGTGATGTTAAACACTATTTCAACCCGCTCACCTGAGAACATATTATAATCAAGACATTATAACATTCCAAATTTATTTTCTACATTTTTCTCAAAGTTATTTTGACACTTAACTCATCCATCTGTACATAATTATCAGAATATCAACTGCACATATATGTGCAATATATACTGAGAGAAACAAATAACGGAACACAGGAAATTCAAGTGTTCCTTTAATATTTTCCAGTTTTCATCAACAGCTTTGAATAGTGAGTGAGTGAGTTTAGTTTTACGCCGCTTTTAACAATATTCCAGCAATATCACGACAGGGGACACCAGAAATGGACTTAACACATTATGCCCATGTGGGGAATCGAACCCGGGTTTTTGGCGTGACGAGCCAACGCCTTAACCACTAGGCTACCCCACTGCCCCAGCTTTGAACAGAGCTGTAGGAGGAAATCTGAGAATAAATAAAGGAACACTGCCATGAAGTGGCGTTCCCTTATTTGTTTCCCTCAGTATATATTGGGGCAGTAGAAATATATGGACATGCAACAACTGTTGCACATCTTCCTATCTGACAGATGAGGAGGGTTTTATCTTGGGGCATTGCAGATGACAAAGGGATTCAGCTCATCCTAAACTGCTCTAGTAAATGAATCGTTTACAATCCAGCTCATATGCTGCTGTATGTCTACACCATCTGTTGTGATATGAATCACCTGTGTATTCTGATAACAATGGTAATGACTTCTGGTGCTGCTGACCACCCAACCATGTCAATAGGCGCATTAGTCAGGAGCCATGTGGAGCCATGTAGATGCATTGTATACCATTTAATGGCTTTTTAAATAAATGGCTCTTAATCTGAGAGCTCAGGATTTAATCAAATTTAGATTATGGCATGCTGGTCAGAATTGAAATTCATGAAATGGGGAAATATTGCAGGATCTGGTTCTTGTTTTGTGTGATGACAGTATTTAATTGCTTTTAGTGTTATAATGGTAAAAATGGTAAATTGTGCCATATTGTGTATTTGATCTTTTATGTTGCTTAGTGATTAATTCACCATAAACATCTATGATGAAAGAGTGGATTGTTATTTCCCCGCTGAGAGATCAGTACATAATCAGACACCATTTTTTAAAGGAATCCAATGGTTTACAGAAATACCAGCCATTGTGACATCAATGACCAGACTGATTATTTACATAGACACAAATCATTTTCAAAGACAGCAATCACCAATAAATCATATAGACATCAATGACCATACCAATCATTTTCAGAGTCACCAATCATTTACAGAGTCACCAATCATTTACAGAGATATCAATGACTATACCAATCATTTACAGCATCACCAATCATTTACAGAGTCACCAATCATTTACAGCAATCATGAATCATTTGCAGAGTCACCAATCATTCACAGAGTCACCAAACATTTACATAAATACCAGTACCAGTTATAATTGGTTGAATTTCATGCATTTAATGCATTGCTTTCTGTTTGGCTGCATTTCAAGGAACACATGCAGAGAGCTCTCACTAGTATATCATTTGGACGTTATCATACGTCTGCATGAAAAAACTCTCAGCTTTATGCATTATCAACACAGAACCTTTTTGTGTTGATAATGATCTGTCACTCCGTTCTGCTGCTCTGTTCCATTGCTAGCTTTGTGTAGTAGTACAACAATCGGGGGGGATCGGTTCCGAAGTCGGTAAGATCAGCAGCATGAATAAAGAAAATTCGTCATGTTTGGATAATATTACTAAATATATGTATGGGAATGTAATACAAAATACAAAAAAAAAAGTTCTTTCTGTAATAAGCAATGAATGTAAAGAGAATCTGAAAAAAACAAACATGCATGATGCATCCTTATGTGAACTTTTTTTTCTTCAATGCAAGACACTTCCTATTATGATTCTTTTTCCCCCTCGTATCCGTCTTCCCATGGACAGACCATGTTTCTCTCTCCTCCAAAGCGACACAGGCTCAACACAAATCCTTTTCCCCCAAGTTATCTGCATAGAAATTGAGCATGGTAAGAAGAAGAGCTCCATTGTATATATTTACTGTTATTTCCATTCATTGCTTGCGACATTGCCGTGTGTAATCCACAAGAAATGAGAACTCAATGTTGATTGGGCCTAATCTGCCTGTTGACCTGCTTGATCCAGCCAGTCCCTTGGCTTTGCCATGCTGAGGCTTGTCAGTTGGTGATTTTGGGAAGAAAATTGGATTAGCAATGTCAGGGCGACAGTGCTGTATTGGAGGCCATATTGGATCTAGGACAGCAAATCAATTTGTTTTCGTGGCCTGGTCTGCCGGCATATTTGAGCAGTTGATGGCAAAATTTGGTCGATGATCAGGAAGAACTCTCTGGATTGGAGAGACCTATTGCTTTATGGTCTCATTACCATGGAAACGGTTAATCCTATAAAACCCGGAATATTAAGTGTGTGCATTACTGAGTGAATTTTAGTGAAAGTCAGTTATTTAAAGGTTATTAGTTTTTAAAAATGAAACGGAAAGACTAGTTTATGATAGGTTGGATAATTATTGAGTTGTGTAGAATGAAATACAGTTCGGTTTATAATTCAGTTGATGGCACCAATGTAATTGCCTTGTTCTGAACCAGGAGTTTTACCATTAATTATGCATTGCAAGATGAGAATGTGCACCACGAAATGGGTTATTTCAGTAAAGACATTGGTTTTCAACAGTGTCGTAATTCAAATCTTGGTTCATTGGTGTGAGCTGTACTGATATAGATGAAAGCTTGGGGGACACAGTTCACCAGCTCTTGATGAACTTTCTCTCACACTTCCAGCAAATCTTTGATGTATAATTAACCAGCTCACCAACAGAACATTCACCAAGCTGCACGACTGAAACTCAAACAGAAATCCCAGGTTAATTTGATCTAACCTCATGGTTGTCAAAAATGCAGTTGTGCTCTTAAAGTACAGTGATTCTGAAATACCTACCTTCCTACCCACCTACATCGATACATTTCTGGCGATCATGATCTGCGATACTTTCTACCTACCTACTTATCCATTTTAAAACTTTATCGATTCAAATTTTTTATGCTATATCCAAAGTCCTTCAAAGTCTTGATAGTATTATACGAGATATCGCTCCGATAAATAGATGTAGCTAGCTTTACTTAAAAATAGGTTGGAAACTAACTATTGGCTAGACTATTTTGATGGACCAATCACATACGTTGCCGGTAATGCTATGAAAAGGCGAAAAGCGAAAGTTATGTATCGCGATACATACCTGTATCCTCGTGACCTTATATATGTACCTACATACCCCTACTACCTTCCTACCCACCTCCTTCCCTACCTATCCACGTTCCTATCTACCTACCTACTTATCCACCTACCTACCTATATATGTACCTACATACCTACCTATCCCATAGTCATCAAAAATATTGTTCCAAGATGTTTCTGATAATAATTGAAATAATATTTGTCTTCATTGTACCATAAGTTTGCTTTTGTCGACATTTCTCATGATAATTAGACAGCTTTTTGTCCCTTTTAATTCTGATGTTGTATCTGGGGACATTGTCCGAAATTACATGAAACCAAAATTTGTGAAGAGAGATTCTTAAGAATAGTGAAATTCAAGATATCGGCATAAAACATTTATATTTGATTCTTGTTGTGTTATTCTATGCTTTTAGGAAATATTCCATGCAACTGTTACCGCATGAAACTGTTTTCCTATGTTCTTTACTTTGGAGAATCGCCTGCTTTCAGAAATTGTCTCTTGTATTGAAGGGTATCGATTTGCTCTGACACACATCAATTTGTACCAGTTAACCTGATTAATTCCCAACTGAGGCGACACAGAGCGACCAATCAATTCCTCTCCAACACTATGCTTGTTTTAGGCTTGGTACCAGACTACAGGTTTTTCATACAGTTTAAACGCAATGACCACATACCCGGCTGTTGGTTCTGACAATTAGCCCAACAGAAGCTTGACTATTTTGTGTGATTATCAGATGAATATGTGTGTTTTACAATCCGAGTTGATCAAATGGTATAATATAGATCTTCAAAAAATAGAAACGTTCACATATATATTGTATCATCATTTTTATTGGTTGGATGTGTCAAGTGAAAATTACAAATGACATCGACAGGAAGTTAGGTTTCACAGTATTTTTTCATTCGTGACAATATTGGTGACATTTGATAGTCAACTCACTTACATCAAACAATGAAATGTTAGATCATTAAATGATGTTGAATTTATTGACATTTGTACGTGCTTGAAACTATAATGAGAAATAAAGGAGTAGTTTTTCCTGAGAAGGGTTATGTCAGTATGACCTTTCCTGCCTTTTAATATTTATGGACATTTAGATGTCAGAAATAATAGCAGAAATAAGGGATTTGTAAGAGAGACATTGTTCTGACAACCAGATCATATCAAATCCACTCTACTTTCCAAATTCTATTTTTAACTTGGCAAACAAAGAGCGTCGGCTGCTCCCCTTCAGATCCACTAATTTGAAAGCGTGGTGATAGTATTGATTATTTTACCATTGATGATAATTACCTGTGCGAATCAACAGGCCCTGTTCTCTGTGGAAAAATGTATTCGTTGAAGTATTTTCAAACGCCATGCGATGATTCAGCATGCCTCACACTCATTAGCATAATTCCCTGACACGCTCAGTTCGTGCTGCGAGAGTTGCAAGAATGGTAGGTTTTCTGACGTTGTGTCTTTCTTACTCCTATTTGTCTTCAAATATTTTCTGTAGTTGAGTTTAATTAATTTGTTGTTTTGGAGAATTGTCTGTTGTCGCTGATGTGAAGATTTTATGGAGCTTCAAGTAAAATGGTCTTTGTTTAATGGCCTCGTGGGCACATGGACGTGACGGGAATATGTTCTGTCAGACTTTCTGAGTTGTACTGGTTTGTATTGGATGTGGGTATGATTATTATGAGGATTTAGTTTGTTTTTTACAAACATATTCTGTTCTCACTGACACTGTTCAGTCTTTTGTAAGTGTGTAAGTCTTTGAAGGATTTACTGCAGTAAAGTCAGATGTCCTGTTATGTTTTGTGTAGTATAAGATATAGCTGTTCTTTTAGACAATTTATATAGCAGTGTATCCATCTCCAGCATACCACAGGTATATCTCAAACAGGTGTTTGACTACCACAGGTATATCTCAAGCAGGTGTTTGACTAATATATGCCAGTATCTGTCCATGACTTAGTACAATGAGTAAGTGTTACCTCATCACTAACAAATGACTAGCTCATGATTCAGTCAAATTACTAGCAATTTACTTCTTTCACTGAAACATGTTCCAGATTAACAATTGTAGAAGACTACGTGATATATTAAGTTTAAGATTTATAAAACTGATATTTCACATTTATCAAATTTATAGTTTTGACTGTTACATACCTATCTATATATGTACCTACATACCTACCTATCCCATAGTCCTAATAATATATTGTTCTATGATGTTTCTGATGATAATTGAAATAATATTTGTCTTCATTTGACTATAAATTCTGCTTTTCATAGACATTTCTCATGATAATTAAAAATTTTTTGTGTCTTTTAATTCTGATGTTGTATCTGGGGACATTGTCTGAAATTACATGAAACCAAAATTTGGAAAGATGTTTGTTAAGAATAGTGAAATTCAAGATTTCGGCATAAAACGTTTTTATTCGATTCTTGTTGTGTTAAGTACACCACAGGCAAATGCCAAAAGAACGCTACTACTGAGGAAGATGTGTAAATAAGAACCACTGTCAGTGATCCTGGCACCGCTAAGGGACAAAACTCAGCAAAGTGGATTCGTTCCCAATCAACCTTCATGCATTTTTAGAATTATTGCTCTTTCTGAGATATATTTTGTATGGTCTTGTCCCTTGTGTATCAGGCAGTCCATAAAACAGCTCCTCGTTATCTACAGGACTTGCTTTCATCCTGAAACCTCCGCTCAAATGACCAATCCTTCCTGTGTGTCCCCACATACAAACTGAAATCTTTTGGAGCCAGAACCGGCTCCTATATCACAGCCACACTGTGGAACTCCTTCTCCTTAACTTGAAATTATCCCCTACCTTGACTAACGCTTAATCTCTGAATATATAATTTTGACTAACAAATAAACCCATTTAGATTGAAAAGGAGCCCAAGGGAGACCAGAGATTCAGAACCTGAATCTGAGGAAATCTAGACTTGCTTCATTATGGCTTTAGCATTGCAGAGAGGGCGAGGCAGTAGGGAAAATAATGTGGTTCAGGGACTGAGACAGACAGACTAACCCCTACCCTGCAAGTCTTCAAGTACAGACTTTAAACCTTCTTATTTCTTCGCTATTATTAATCCCCCCTTTTCAGTTGTACAGTTGTATATATCAGGGAAGATCATTTTCCGCGGATCCGTGGAATTCCGGGAATTTCATAAGGCCAAGTGTCATTTTTGTGAATCGTCTAAAGCCTGCGGCCACCAGACAGTTTTTCTCAAAGCATCATTCTCATCCCTGATATATATCTACTTTATATTTCTTTATGTCAGCGCTTTGAGTGTGCCCCTCCGTGGGGCGGAATTCAGCGCATCCCAAATGCCCTTATTATTATTATCATGATCATTATGATATATTTTTGGTCTTTGTGTTTCAGGTTGTGCGTTTGTGAAATTTGCATCCCACTCAGAAGCTCAGACAGCTATCAACGCCTTACACGGGAGTCAGACAATGCCAGTAAGATAGCCTTAAACTGATGAAGCCATCGTGCATAAATGTTAGGGCTGCAACGATTCAGTTCGATTCATCGAAAATCGAATATGACACCTTAGTTTTAAGTTTAGATATCCATTATCACTATTTCAATTTGATATTTGAATCTCTATTTAAATTATTTCCACACCGCCAGAACGTAATTTTGACTCCAGCTCAAGCAGTTTCGAGCACTAAATAATTATCCAGTGAGAATTGTTGTTAGTAGACATCGCCAAGTTGACGATGGATTTCACGCTAAAAAAGCAGACTCTGGGAGTTAAATGAAATCTGATGTTTTTACTTGTATGAAGAATCGAAACGAAAATGATCAAATCGAGGGACCAATCGAATCGAAATATATTTTTGTTTACGTTTTCTTTTGATAAGGCAAGACCAATTATATTTCTTGTTTTACGGATTTTTGTCCTCAGAAAACCTAAAGGCAGGAGGGGGAAAAAACACACCAGTCAAAGCAAAAACCAACATGAGTTTTACGAAGGCATTGTTTTTCAAGTTCACACTTGCTAAAGTGTTCGAAGCACTGATTTCTAACACAGATATTGTTACATAATTCAGTTTATTTCAGTCTCTGAGAATCGAAACCGGTGTTTTAGTGTCCAACAAACTGCCTTGTGTAGTTGAAGTCGTGCTCCCATATATCTTAACATTAGGATTTTATTTTTCGAGCAGTGAAAATTAAACAATTATTTTTTCTTATTCTTGAAAAAATACGGCGGATCCGTAAAACAAGAGATTAAATTGTTATGGCCTAATTATATATACACAGTTTCAGTTTATTCCTTGAATAAACATGTGAACATCTACCCTATTATTTTTCTGAAAGTCATTGTTTATTAAAATGTCTTCTTCAAATGCTTTAGGAAATGCATACATAGGTTCAGTTGAGCGTATGATTTTTAAGAGATTGTCACTCATTCGAAGACATTTTCATAGAATCTCTTCTTCAAAAATATCTTCAATATGCTTATATCTGGATGCAATCAGTTCAGACAAATGTTACGAGAAATGACCTTTAATATTTATCAATTTATTTCAATACATAGATGTATTATATCAGCCAGATACTTAAACATATCTAGGAATATTAGACTTCCACATGAGGAGTGCTATAATCATAGTGCGTATCTTGACTAAATACCAGATATACCTTAAATATTTTACGTGATTTGCCACATTTTGTTTAGCAATAATTGTCATGTCATTAAGCTGTGCATATCAAATTCCTGTGTGTTGTAAAGTATTATATTACCGATACTATTATCACTGTTATAGCATCTTTAAATATCAGTGAATTACAGGTGAGATATTAAGCCATGCAACTTCTTGCAAGGTAATATATTACCGGTAATATTATCACTGTTATAGCATCTTTAAATATCAGTGAATTACAGGTGAGATATTAAGCCATGCAACTTCTTGCAAGGTAATATATTACTCGTACTATTATCACTGTTATAGCATCTTTAAATATCAGTGAATTACAGGTGAGATATTAAGCCATGCAACTTCTTGCAAGGTAATATATTACTGGTAATATTATCGCTGTTATAGCAAGGATGAGTCACATAACTCCTGTTCTCAAGGCCCCTCACTGGCTTCCAGTAGAAGCCAGGATCAAATACAAGATACTCTGCTTGATATTCAGGTGCCATGAGGGCACATCTCCCCCATACCTTAATAAACTCCTAAGTGAACATCGTCCAACAAGAAATCTTTGCTCTGAGAGCCAACATCTTCTGTAAGTCCCACCTTACAGACTGAAGGGACATGGACTAAGGGCATTCAGAACTGCTGCAACGATGCTGTGGAATGACCTTCCCTTGGAAATAAAAGGAATCAAATCCTTTGACAATTTTAAGTTACAGCTGAAAACTCACCTCTTCACCATCTACTATGCCTGAATCCCAATCTGTACACAGACTCATTAGTGCTGACATTTTCCCTCCAATATCCAGTCTTTTATGTAATGTACTTATTCTAGTCTGTGTTGCACTTTGAGCATATGTTATTTATGGAATCTAGCGCTATACAAAACTTCATTATCATTATTAATATTATTATCTTTAAATATCAGTGAATTACAGGTGAGATATTAAGCCATGCAACTTCTGCTGTATTTACAGGGTGCTTCCTCAAGCCTGGTTGTTAAATTCGCTGACACGGAGAAGGAGCGTCAACTTCGTCGCATGCAGCAAATGGCGGGACCACTTGGGTTGTTGTCTCCATTTGCTCTGTCACAGATCGGGGCTTATGGAGCCTATGCTCAGGTGTCGCGCGAGTCCTCGCCCGTTGCTGATCACATGACAGTTTATTGCCAACGACCGGTACACAATTTCAGCTACTTTGTTGTGATCTGAACTACATGAAACTACTTAAAGTATTTGTCATTTGGAAAATAATATCAGAGTTAGCAGGCTATTAGCTCTGGCCTAGTATTTCAGTTTTGCAGTGGCTGTAGGTTCTCTGTAGAACTAAACCAGGCTGTAAGGTGTACCTCCCCATGGCTAAGGGGAGGTAATCCAACTACTTTGTAAAATGCCAAGGGAGGCAATCCAACTTCTTTGTGTAAAGCTAAAGGAGGTATTCCAACTACTTTGATGACCAACACATATGAGATAAATGAGTTTTTGATGTTCTAAATTATATTACTAATAGTTTATGTCACGAAAAGGGCAGTGACGTAGCCTAATGGTTAAAGCATTTGCTCATCATAACTGTTGTATGATCCCAGTTGGGCAGACAGATGCTCATGATGCCAGTCTGTAGATTCTCATTAACTACGGAACACCTTTTAGGATATTGCCAAGTGGAGCATTAAACAACAGTTTTCTGATGTAGAGTTGTCTCCCTTGTTAAACAACGTTTTACTGATATAGAGTTACCTCTCTTGTTAACAGTTTTCTTATTTAGAGTTATGTCCCTTGTTAAACAACAGTTTTTTTATGTAGAGTTATGTCCCTTGTTAAACAACAGTTTTTCTGATGTAGAGTTATCTCCCTTGTTAAACAACATTTTTTTATTTAGAGTTATGTCCCTTGTTAAACAACAGTTTTTCTGATGTAGAGTTATCTCCTAAACAACATCTTTTTCTGATGTAGAGTTATCTGCCTTGTTAAACAACAGTTTTCCGATGTAGACATTTTTGCCTTGTAAAACAACATTTTTCTGATGTAGAGTTATCTCCCTTGCAGCAAGCATCTTCCCTGGCCTCGCAGCAGTTGATGCAGCAGCAGGCTGCTATAATGGCTGCAGCGGCTGCACAAGGAACCTATCTGACAAGCCCCGTCAACGTCCTGGCCACACAGATGCAGCAGATCGGAGGTCTGGCCACACCCAATGGCATTGCCACTGCGGCCATTACCCCTACAACTGCCACACTAGCTAATGGTGAGATTGGTAAATGTTTTTTTCTGTTTTATATCATTCCAACAATACAGACTCTAAAAGTTGGGAACTCAAGGGTTTATTCATTGGAAAAATGTAAAATTGATAATTGTATCTTATTGATGTTTGTAGTTTTCAGTGTTTTCAGATAATCTTTCATAATTAAATTAGCTGATAATTGTTTTGAGATGTTTGAAGGTGTAAAAAACTTAAACTTAAACAGTAGCAGCTGTATGGATATTAAGTTTTCTATTTACTGTAGTTTTTATATCATGATATGGCTGAAATATTACCAATGTGACTGTAAATTATAACTCACTCACTCACTCAATACACCAGAGACCAAAGTTGGATGTCCCGAGACCTGGTATATCACAGTGTTTAAAGCTCCTAAAATTCCAAGCCAGACAGCCGGACTGGTAACTTTTAAGAATTACCAGTCCAGATACAAACTTGCCTGTCCGGGTTAAAAACATTTATAAGACCACTGGACAGGCTACTTTTGAAATTTGACCGTTCAAGATGAAAATAGACCGTTCCGGACAGTCGGGCAGGCGGGAATTTTAAACACTGTTTATCACCCATGATAAAACCCTTTCCAATATACACATGTGTGCATTTCAATTCAAATTGGTCCACTGAAACCATGTGACCTCACAGTGCACTTTTGTTCAGATTGATAAAATCTGAAATCATTGATTGTTCATTTTCCTCCAATCATGAGTGGTCGATGTTCTTTAGAATATTGTTGAAATTTTTACATTCTCCTCAGATGATAATAAAGAATCAGTACGGTTTCAAGTTCCTACATTTGCGAAGATGTATTTGATTTTGTAGGCTCTGCCACCCCTGCGCTGAACGGTGGTCCCCCCAGCGTATTGTCTCCTACAGCCATGGCGAGCTTCCCTGTACCCCAGACAAATGGACAGGGACCAGAGGTGTACACAAACGGCATTGCACACTATCCAGGTACAAACCAATAGATTTAGGGTTATTTTTGTTAATTTATGCCGCACTCAGCAATATTCCAGCTATATGGCGGCAGTCTGTAAATAATTGAGTCTGGACCAGACAATAAAGTGATCAACAGCATGAGCATCGATTTGGCATATGATGACATGTGTCAACCAAGTCAGCAAGCCTGACCACCCAATCTCGATAATCGCCTCTTATGAGCATGGGTTACTGAAGACCAATTCTAACCTGGACCTTCACAGGTGCACAAAGCAATAGAGACATCATGACCGTTTCGTGTCACATAGTGAGCAAAAAATTCACAACAAACTCCTTTACTTCATTTGTAAGAATCATCAAAAAGAAATTGCATTTATGGAGAAAAAGTTGTTGAGATAAGGGTTTTCGCAGCTTGTGGATTTACACTCTGTCCAGACTGGGTTTGTATTCATTTATACTTCTATAAATGCCACAAAAGTGAATTTAAATCATAAATATCTGTAAAATAAGACGTTTTTTCAAAAGAAGTATATTTTACAGCTGCAGCTGCTCAAGCCATGACCAATGGCGACCCCCTCCAACAGTACGCCACCATACAACCCTACGCGGGAATCGGTAAGAGTACGTTCAGTTACTTGATAGTATGTGTGTGTCAAGTAGACTGTAGCAAACAGTAGAGTAGCAGCAACTTGATTCCTTTTGGATTAGCTAGTATTGTGTGGTTTCACTGCTAATAGAGCAGGGCTCTGTTTCAAAAAGCGATCGTGGCTAAGGTGATCGTAACTCCCATACTTTAACATAGACTTACGACAGACAGTCCTTGCACTACGATCGCTTTGTGAAACGGGCTCCAGATTACAGAGTCCAGTGACTTGGCAACACTGTTGATATGCACCACAACCTTAGCAGATTTTCCCAAAGGAGCAGCCGAATGGTTGACAAATCTGCACCTATCTGATGATAGGTACAAGTGTGTACAGTCCTTAAAAACAATCTTGAGATGTTTTTTACAACAAACTGTTCTGCTATTAAGAATGCACAATGCCATTTAGACAGTGGTCAAATGTAACACGTTTTATTTGGGATTACACTTTCTTAGTAAAGTACAGATTTTAGTTCTTTTGTTGGGTTGAGTCTCATCCGAGATACGAACCCCCACCCTCAGAGTTAGGCAACTGTGGAAGCCGTGGTGGCTGAACGGGTTAGGTGTCTGACTTTGTGTGCTGGCGATTAGACGCCTGACTCTGAGGGTGTGCAGTGTTCACGAATGGTGTTTCAAAGTCATAGGACATTGGGTCCTGTAAGTTTCAGATGTCTGTCTGACCCATTGAAAATGCACAGGACCCATGGAATAAAATTAAACACACGTTTCAGATTTAATATTTCTTATTATTGACAATGAAATTATTAACAAACATAAGATTTATAAACAGCAAACAAGTGTCACATGTCACATAAAACAACTTCAGTCAAAGTCATTGTGAAATATACAGTCAGACACTGGGGCCGGCGGGTTGTAGACTTCTGTCTGACCGTTGGCGAATCTGCTGGATATGTCAGAGGATCAGTCGCTAATCGTGAACACTAGTGTGGGGGGTTGAATCTAGTAGTAGAATCAGTACTTTACTAAGAAAGTGTAATCCCAAAAATAACATACGTTCCTCTGCTACTGTTCAGTTTGCTGAGAGCACTTTAACATCAAAAGCAAACCCCACATTCGTTTTCTGCTATTTGTAAAATGGCAGTGTAACAATGTGATTTAACCCTTACCCTGATCAATAGAATGATTGCCCTACCCCTTTAATGGTAGTGTCTTATTGTGTAGTCGGACAATTTACACTTCAAATAGTCTAGAGAGACTTTTGTTTTGGTAAAAGGTAAGTTGGATGGTGGTTGAACTAATTACATTTTGTGTGTGTTAGTAAACTAGTTTGCAATTGGTTGAAGGTTTCCTTTTCTTTTACACAATTCCTTGTTATTGCACAACAATAGATAGACTTAATTCATGGCTTTGAACAAACAACTCAGTTTTCTTTCAATATTTAAGTCATTAAAATATCGAGAGATAGTTTCTTGCAAAAGTGAGTTTTTAAAATATGCATTATTATAGAATGAGATGAGTGGTGAAATCTGATTTATCAAGATTTGACTTTGTGAACATGATTCACACTGAAAACATGTCGTATTAATGTTTCAACCTAATGTAATACTATGTGTAATCATATAAACATTTATCATGTAGACATTTCTACTCAGTCTACTATATCTATATATCTGGTATACTACTTCTGAAAGGGATTTATCCAGGAAACGTTAAACAAAGCCTATGACAAAATAATTAGGAACAATTCCCTATTTCTTGGATACAATTACAAATTTTAGATTTTGTTTGAAAAAGATTTTAAAATGTGTATCTAGGTGCCATTGCATAAAAGATATTTGGAATGTGTACTCCCTAGGGAATTGTTCCTCGTCTATTGACTGACACCATACAGATGTGCAATCTGTGGTTTAACTACATGTAATGATAAACAACAAAAGTTTACAAAGAGGCAGTTTGGGCAGTATTCTCCCGAGGGAGTTCAGAATTGTTACTGCCTGACTGACTGACTGACTGAGTTTAGTTTTACACCGCTTTTAGCAATATTCCAGCAATATTACGGCGGGGGACACCAGAAATGGGCTTAACACATTGTGCCCATGTGGGGAATCGAACCCGGGTCTTTGGCGTGACGAGCCAACGCTTTAACCACTAGGCTACCCCACCGCCCTCAGAATTGTTACTAATCCATCGACTAGGGCCATAAAGACATGAATGATATCTGTGGTTTGGCTACATGTAATGCAGCCACCAACAGCAACAGCATTACATGTGTTTGAGTAGCCTGGATAAAGCTCTGTTACAAAGTAGGACTAGGGTATCCCACTTGGTGTGCCGGCCCTCACTGCTATCTTCTCTCCAACAGCTGCGTACCCTGCGGTCTACGGACAGTTCCAACAGGCGCTCACTCAGCAGGCTGCCACCCTCATACCCACAGCTCAAAAAGAAGGTAAATATTTAAAAAGATTAACACATGGACATTTTATTTGGTAAACGTTAAGCTGGGCAATGATGATTTTGTGTGAAAATTGTGTAATTTTGTGACAGTAAAATTTTGTGCAATTTAAATGTAAAATTTAATTCATATTTATTGAAGTTAATTAAAAATTATTTCATATAAATATATACATTTACTTTAATTTCAAACATAAGATTTAAAGTAAAATTAATTTAAATATATTTTGTATAAGGTCATGAATAATGATTTAACAGATTTGTTAAAAAATCAAATATTTAATTGGTTGCTCAGTTCTTGTGTTTGTCTAATACATGTATCCTGTATACTAGAGCGGGTCTGCTCACATTCATGTTACTAGATTTCTCTCCCATTAATACAGGGCCGGAGGGCTGCAATCTCTTCATCTATCACCTGCCTCAGGAATTCGGAGATGCTGAGCTTGCCCAGATGTTCATGCCGTTCGGGGGAACGTCATCAGCGCCAAAGTTTACGTGGACAGAGCTACGAACCAGAGTAAATGCTTTGGTAGGTAGACAGTTCCTTGTATTTGTGGTAGATTTATGTTTAGCTAATTATGCTGCCAAGGCAACATCGAAGATAATATTGTTTCTCTCAAGAAAATGAGTATTTACTAGGGCTGCACAATATAACCGGTTTACCGGTTCAAACATGAAAACGATACGTATTGCGATACACTGATCGAAAACCGGTATTTTGACATGCATTCGGTAAACTTCATAACACTTGGAAATCTTCGGATATTTCCGTTTTTTAAATTGTTCCTTTCCTTGTTTCATTTGTTCCAAACATTATTTACATTTTAATTTTGTCATGATTAAAAGTTTTTATTAAAGTCTAATCAAACATAGTGATTTGTTGTGTTTTTGCTTTATAAATCAAGCATTAACTCGATTATAAGTAGTTTTTTGTGTGTTAAAAGCACTTCTTGCAATATATTGCAAAACAATGACATGTAGAATTGATTTGCGAAACCATGTACAATATTGCTGCTTGCCTGGTGATGTAAAAATTGCAACTTTAGAATGGAAAATATCAGTATAAACATGAGTTGGTTAGTGAGTATGGTTTAATGCCGCTTTTAGCAATATTCCAGCAATATCACAGCAGGGGACACCAGAAATGGGCTTCACATATTATACCCACGTGGGGAATCGAACCCTGGTTTTCAGCGTGACGAGCGGACACTTTAACCACTAGGCTACCCCACCGTCTCCAGTGTAGACATGGACACATTATTTGATGTTATAATATTGCAAACTTACAGTGATGGGTGTTTCTCTGTCTCTAGGATTTGTCAGCTTTGACAACCCCAGCAGTGCTCAAGCTGCCATCCAGGCAATGAATGGATTCCAGATCGGGATGAAGCGCCTGAAAGTTCAACTGAAGAGACCAAAGGATGCTAACAGACCCTACTAATACAAAGTGCTAAATGTAAGTACTTGAGAAATATCATCTCTTTCATATTCTTTTTTTCCTTTGCTTACATTGCAAGTTGTTAAGGCAACAAATGAAGTTTGTGAAAGAACCTTGCTTTGAGGTCTGTAGAAATGCTGTTTAGGAACACCACTATTCTGCCCATTTTTTCACTGGAAATACTGATTAGTTTTTCTTCTAAGATGTCGTCTCTCATGAATTTTCTAAAGAATTTCATATTTCATGCTCTGGGAAAGCTATAATACAATGGATGATATAAACGACTGTTTGTTTCTCAGATGTAGTCGAGATAGATCACCACTTTTCAATTCTAAATTTACCCCAGTCCAAAATTCCACCCCAATTTTCCCATAATGCATCTACATCGTTTTCTTTACACCCTTACCATAGACGCCTGAGCTACTCTCACGTAGCCAAGAGTATCGTTGCAATAGCAACGTCACCCCTGACAACATGGTTACTCGTAAGTTGCGTCAAATGGGTGGAGTTGTATGTTGTTGGATGGTGGTTTTTGCAATAATCGTTAAATCAATGGGTTTATTTCTTGTGCCCATATCGTCTGCTTCTGCTACTTCTATCTATTTATATAACATGTATTTCATCATTTCCATAACAAGTCATGTTCGTGTTCTACCAGTGTTTTGGTTTGTGATATATACATACATATATATATGATACACATTTGTTTCTCCAAACACAGAATTGTTGGAGTTACTTCCCTTTGTGAATAGTCAAAACTTTGGGATGTAGCTGAAAACAAAAATTGACAAATATTTTCATCTTCGGTCTGCAGCAGCAACATTTGTGAAATTTGACCAAGGATTATTATTTTTCTACTTATGGCTATACTATTTTGTAAGTTTAGAGTTCTTTTATGTTGTAATATGTAACATCGTGTGATGCTGTTGTATTAATAAGCCAATCTGCACATAGGCAGCGACTTGGGGTCGATCAGGCCACAACCGTGATCCGATCGTGGATTTCATATTCACCTGTTCTGACGATTTTTTCTCACTGTCAGTAAAAGTGGACTTGGGAGAAAAGATTTGAAACTGCTACGATACAGATTTATGTCATATTTGATTTATTCCGAATTTTTGATACATATTTGATTTAATCAAATGTTTCATGTACCATACTTTTGTTGTTAATTTTTTCTAAAGAATTTCATATTTCATGCTCTGGGAAAGCTATAATACAATGGATGATATAAACGACTGTTTGTTTCTCAGATGTAGTCGAGATAGATCACCACTTTTCAATTCTAAATTTACCCCAGTCCAAAATTCCACCCCAATTTTCCCATAATGCATCTACATCGTTTTCTTTACACCCTTACCATAGACTCCTGAGCTACTCTCACGTAGCCAAGAGTATCGTTGCAATAGCAACGTCACCCCTGACAACATGGTTACTCGTAAGTTGCGTCAAATGGGTGGAGTTGTATGTTGTTGGATGGTGGTTTTTGCAATAATCGTTAAATCAATGGGTTTATTTCTTGTGCCCATATCGTCTGCTTCTGCTACTTCTATCTATTTATATAACATGTATTTCATCATTTCCATAACAAGTCATGTTCGTGTTATCTACCAGTGTTTTGGTTTGTGATATATACATACATATATATATGATACACATTTGTTTCTCCAAACACAGAATTGTTGGAGTTACTTCCCTTTGTGAATAGTCAAAACTTTGGGATGTAGCTGAAAACAAAAATTGACAAATATTTTCATCTTCGGTCTGCAGCAGCAACATTTGTGAAATTTGACCAAGGATTATTATTTTTCTACTTATGGCTATACTATTTTGTAAGTTTAGAGTTCTTTTATGTTGTAATATGTAACATCGTGTGATGCTGTTGTATTAATAAGCCAATCTGCACATAGGCAGCGACTTGGGGTCGATCAGGCCACAACTTCGTGATCCGATCGTGGATTTCATATTCACCTGTTCTGACGATTTTTCTCACTGTCAGTAAAAGTGGACTTGGGAGAAAAGATTTGAAACTGCTACGTACAGATTTATGTCATATTTGATTTATTCCGAATTTTTGATACATATTTGATTTAATCAAATGTTTCATGTACCATACTTTTTGTTGTTAATCACTTTGACATTGTGATACAAATTTAGTTGTTTTTTTTCTAAAAGAATTATTTTGATCATGGTACTGATGAAGTTTTTGCGCAATTTAAGATTTTGAAATAAGGTTCAGTACCATGCATCAGCGTATTGAATTAACTCCTTTCGTAACCCTACCAAATTGGAAACTGAATCTTTTATTTGCCAATTTTAAAAGTTCGGCAATTTAAAAAAATGTTCAGCATCCATGCTGTTTGATTACTTCACGTTCAACCTATAACTTACTTTACGAAGAATATTTGATCATTTGTGGAGTCATTCATGGTAATGGTTTCTCGTTTGTCAAATCTTCCAAAACGTCAGAAAATCATTTGAAAAAACGACTTAGGGTTGATAGTTCCCTTGAAATCAAATATGATTATCTGTCACTTGTTTCGCTGAAAAAATATTGGAAGGACATTTTATAAAATAACAAACATAAGCCCCAGAATCACTGAGATTAGCCTGATCGCCTGTTCCAGTGTAGCTTGAATATTAGAGCTACGAATGTTGTCCGTACATGGTGGTGGGTTGCCTGATCCCATTTGCAACTAAGGGGAGGTAACTGTCTTCAACTTGGAGTCTTGTTTAGCAGCAACCAGGGCTAATTCTTAGGTCATATGGCAGTTCATATTAACATCATGCTTTTCTATGGAGATTATATTGTGTATTCCTGTGATGTTTTGACTATTTTTCACATTTTGGCAGTTTATTTTGGTTGATTCCACTGTGTTTCTCCACTCCTCCTGGTGATGAAAACAGCATGTAGTCATATTTAACATCTCTAACTTCGTAAAATGGCCATTTTGGGGTGACTCATTTCTGTGCCAACTTACCCATGGTATCATAACACTTGTCATAGTGTACAATCACTAGTGTCTGTAGTGGTGGTTGCCGTATCCCCTCATACAATCATTGTTTAGTGTCAGTCTTTTGATAGTGTCTGTTGATTGAATCAGTGGAAACGTCTGCCTGTGAGCATCATGTTTACAGTGCTCTTTTACAATTCTGCTTGGCTACAAGTCTAAGAGTGTTTTAGAACCGAAATCACTTCCCTCCAAATAAACAAATACTTCACTGAAAGTGAAACCTGAAAAAAACCCGATTCTATATTGTGGGAAAAATAAAGGGATCACATGAAAGCACAAGTGTTCCTATGTTGTTTTCCAGGTTTCTTCACAAGCTGTGCGATACAAAGCTTGTGAAGAAACCTTTGAAAAAAATAAAGGAACACTTGTACTTTCATGTGGTCCCTTACTGTTTTCTCTCAGTATATATCGAAAACATAAACCTGAAAGGGTTTTGTGTCGTCCACCATTTTGTTTTTCAAGACCTGACCCAGTTTTTGTTTCCGATTTGGAACACTTTTTCAATATTCGCTTTAGAAGTAAAATATTCATATTTGGAGGTGAACTATTCTACAATGTTTTCTGTAGCTCCCAGATGAGAAATAAAGTAAATCTGATATTAACCAACGAATGGATTAGGGGTTATGGTAACTGTTGCTATGGTTTCAGCCGCTTGTAGGGAGGACTAGTTTTGAAATTGTAAAAAAGGCTTACTTTTCATGTTATCCTCGGACAACCTTTCTGTCAAAATCATCTCTTGCAATTCTTGAATTTTATATAGAGTAACTTGTTCATTTATCATGAAACTGGTCGCCTATTTCCTAAAAACTGTACACCATATCTTTATTTAGCAAACTAAAAAGAATAAAATTGGATGAAATGTCTTTTTAAGAACCGTTTGTAGCTATGACTTACATTTGTTTGGTTTCATTTCAGGGGCCCAGACTAGGGGACCACAAATGCCAAAAAAATTGGACATTGACCTTGACCTTTGAAAGCGGAGTTACAGTGTTTGACACGTAAAACTGCTAATGGAGGACGATGAAGAGAACAATATTCATTTCATATTATAGCATGTCCGATTCCAGACTGAATATGATACGAACAATATCCCACCTATAAACTAGGTCACATTGTGTAATTCATGATATAACATTATATCAAGACAGTGACTGAGTATATTATGAAAAAATGAACTATTTCCGTATATTGTACTTTGAATAGCTTTAAGTGCCATCAACTATGTCTACTGTGCTAGTTTGCACAGAGTACCGTTAGCAACATCCTATATTCAACTAACTATCTGTAGAGTCTTCATTTGAATGTGTGGTATGAAAACTTGTTATGAACAGAGACCTAGAAATGATATGCTTCTTTGTCACCTTCGACCTCTTCGTCATAAACATTCCAAATTTGATTCAGAGGGTGTGCTGAACATGTTGATGTTGTGCTGATCATGTTTCATAGTTTATTGCTCAAACTATAGGAATTTCTTGACAGTAGTACTGTTCTGGTGTGGCTTAAGATGGAACTATGTCCATCATCAAGAGTCTAACAAAAGGCATTCTGTCTGAGCCAAATTAAGCAGGCTGCCTTTGTATAAAGGATTTTTCCATTAAATGTCAAACTTGATACTGAAATACCAAAGATATTTTATTCATTTTTGTTCTTGTCGTCTAGTGTAGAATTCGGTGTGTTTGTTGCTCATCCCAACCCTTACCAAGGTCAGGTTGAAGGTCACAAGGGAGCATTCATTTTTGTAATCAAAATCAGACAGTTGAGCATTCCTGTGTACAAATTCATAATTTTCTATTTCTCTATAGCCGATGTGTCAGTGTACTACAGTCACTCATAGTAACAAGCATGATTGTTTAACTCGTCTCATGTAAACCTTGGTTTTGTTTTGAGATGTCAAATGGTCCTTTTATTTAAGTCCATTTAGAAGTTGTTGGAAATTTTAAACTACTGTTGGATGAAATTGTTTATTATTGTTTGACATTTTCAGTTGATGGACGTAATGTCATCCAGCATCCTCATTTGTTAACTGGAAGCTCATTTTGATTTTCTACCATGATATATACTTGTGATTAATTCAGTGAAAATTGACCAATGGAAAGTGTCGTTGTAGACAAGATACAGTTCGTACTATGTAACATCGTCACCGATTGGTCACAATTGTTGCTTGTTGAACCAATGACCGTTTTCATCACAGTTGTGAACTGTTAAGTTGTTATCAGTGTCACTGAGATTTGTAAAATTTAATGGATTGGTTAATTTATTTCAACTCATTGCATAGTGATTATTATTACCCGTTCCTTTTATGTATTTGTAGGGTGGAAATGTGTTACCCCCTGAATATTTGATATTGAAATTGAGCTCGTGATGTATATTTTGAATAGACGGGTGAATTATCAGGAGAGAAAATCAAAACTTTGTTCACACAACAAAAAGTCAATCGATCACTTTAGACTTCATCCAAACCTAAGGGTTTTAAAAGGTATTCTGAACTTATTTTGCTTAGTAGAGGCATCATCAAAATAATTTGTCTTTTTTTTTGGTCGGAAAATCGTTCATGACCTTGACCTTTGATTTTCTCTCGCACCCACTCTCATGAATCTATTACCGACATTGTTGACATCAAGTTTCCTACGGTGATTCTTGAGTTCCCTAACACTAACACATTGTTTTTACATGTTATGATGTCTGGAGATAATTATGACCTCCAATATTGAACAAATGACCTTTGATAATCAAATGATTATGAATATATTTAAAGAGATGGGACAAGATGAAGGGATCTCACAAATGTTAAAGAACTTTTTCCTTGAACTCTTCAAGGTTCTTCATAGAGTCTGTCTGGCTTGTATATTCTGCTGAATGTACGTATGCCTATGGGATTGGTGCAAGGTGCGATTTTCTTTCCCCATCTCTTTAAATAATGCTTTGTGTACAGGCCATGGTGGCTACGTTTATTTTTTCTTAAATTAGATATTTTAGCCTAAGATATTTAAAGTATGACATGTACAGAGTAGTGTAGAAGACTTTCACGTTGGTCAACACTGTGGAATTTTCAATGATCCAACTATTTATTATTATGTAGTTATTTATTGATAGTTTTTGAATTTTATCATGTTTAATTTATTGAAGTTTTGCCGAGAGCTGTCATGACAAATTGTTTATAGCGGTGTAGCTTATATCATTCACAATGCATATCCTTTACTGTTAATGTGCGATTGGTTATCTTCATTAGGAAGTCCATTGCTGTATCTTGATCATATCAGTTTGTTTATGATTTCTGTATCATACTGGACTGTGTTCAGTATTTTTGAGACATTCTACATTTTCAACTTAACGATGGAGAACACGTGCAATATGTATCTTTCATATCATTTTACCTCAAGTATATAGTTTTCGACCATTTTTGTGTTCAGAAAATCATAGTTTTTAAAGTTTTGTTTTGTGAAAGGTATATCAAAATTGTTATTCATTTAGCTTGAATCAAAGACTTTTTCATGATAGTTAGCTATGATGTATATATATATTGGAGTAAAGTAGAAATGTTTACCATGGAAACGATGAAATGTTCACAGTTTCATTGACATTTTCTCTTTAATTGTACAAGTGCTACCGACTTCCATTACTCCTTTGGTTTGGAAGAAGATTACGGTCACAATTGATGTCTGTTTTTATTAATTCTAAATATTCTTTTTTAATTCTTAAAATTTTATTTCAATTCTTAAAATTGGTTTTGATTTGCATTTTTTGTCTAAAATGTGGATTTTTAAATTTATTACTTAATGTTCAATTTAGTTTCATTATATGAATGAAATACAATAGAAATCATTTCAAGTTGAAACTTTAGGTAAGCAGAGAGATACCTCATGATTAGCCATGAAAATCTAGTCAACATTTTTTGTTGAGATATGATGTGCAATATTGGTGTTGTAACATGACAGGACGAATAGAAATCTCAGAGTAGCCTACTGGAAAATAATTTGTGCCATGTTGTGAATGAAAAGACATTTTATCTGGACTAAACGCCTATTTGGACTTTGATTTTAATCCAAAAACTTCAGTAAAAAGGATTCCAAAACACTAAAAGAAAAAAACATATTAAACTTTGGTCCAGATTATTTGGGTTCAATTATTTTATATTTTTGATGTTTGTTTCATCTGGATCTCATGAGGGTCACAGTTTAATTTTAATTTTCGTTCGTTTGAGATGTGTGCTCAGCGTTGGACAGTCTACTGTTCATTATTTATTGTTTTTGTTTTTTTTCTTTTGACAAATGATAATCGTAATCCACAGATTTTGCACTTATGATAATGCACAGTAGCGTAGTTTTGCACGTAGTTATAGTAGTTGATGACGATACCCATAGATTAATTATATCTTATAGATGAAGAGTTATATAATTTTTGCAAACAAATTATGAAATGCTCAATTAACATCATTTTGCATAAGAAATTGGTGTATAATATTCATTATTGTGGAATTTCCGGATTTGGACCAATTCGAAGAGCTGTTTGATGTTTTGGTTTGTTGTTGCAACAGTTCTTGCAGGCGATTGGTCAATTCTGGGACTTCCTCTGGACAACTGTTGGACACGAGTAACAAATAGTACTGTCACGTGATTTGTATATATATGGTGGGACTTCATCATTTGGTCGGATATATACCAGTGCAACAGAGGAATGAGTTTTATGTCAAATTTTTGATAAGGAAGATCTATTTTTATAAGATCCTATTTTTTCAAGCAAGATTCTTTGACAAGTTATCGCTGTTCGTAACCATGGAGTTGTCTTACTTTCTTGACTTCAGTTTGATACACACTTATTCGGCTTTCATGCCGTTTTTTCCACTAGATGTTGTGTTGAAATTTGTGTGGACGTTAAGGAGGATTGACGTATACATATACGTATATACATACCTTGTTATATCACCAACTTAAGCCGTTGTCATTTTGTGAACGTAATTGTAGTAGTTATATCGCATACGCCGTGACGCGCTCAGCGGGCAAACAGGCTGGCCTTCTTGAGAGTTGTCTCCCTTTCCTCCGACAATCACTTCAGTCAGACAGGTGACGCTTCGGCGCCGCTGTTGCCACGGCAACTACACTGATTTACTTCTTTGTGTCAAACTCTGGAGATTGCTTGTGCCGCGGTTCCGTTTCCCTGCTGACCGCTCTCGTCTGTGGTCAACACTGTGTGCCGGTCACATGACCCAGTGAGTGGTTTCCCAAAATATTTTGTCCGTTTCTGACAGTTGTCCAGGTGTCCCCAGCCCCATTAGAGCATAAGCACGAAATATTTTACCTCAGATGATGAATAACTATATATAGATAATTACGAAGAAGCGACTGTAGCTGGAAGGCTGTCTAGTGCCCAGTGCATGAGGTATTTACAATGTTAATCTGGGCATTGAAGGCTTCTACGAGCCAGCTGTAAGGCACTGTCATCACTCATGTCAAGCTTGTACAAATTCCATCATTGACAAGTTGCAGATCTTGAATAATTGCCTATTATTTACTCTTTGAAAATAAATGCAGCAAGCAAATTCCTGACTGGTGTTTTGTTTTACTATATTTCTATATATACTGAGAGAAACAAATAAGGGATCACAGGAAAATTCAAGCGTTCCAATTTTTCCAGTTTTCATCACCAGCTTTGAATAGCACTGTGCTGATGAAAACTGGAAAATAGTAAAGGAAGCTTGAATTTTCCTGTGAACCTTTATTTGTTTCTCTCAGTATATTACTACAATGGATTATCTTGTTCATTATTGCCACACTGAGCAATAGTCAAGCTCTAGACCAGACAATCCAGTGACTGATATTGTGTCCACACCATCAGAGTGAGTTAGTGAGGTTAGTTGTACGCCGCACTTAGCAATATTCCAGCTCTCTGGCGGCGGTCTGTAAATAATCGAGTCTGGACCAGACAATCCAGTGATCAACAGCATGAGCATCAATCTGCGCAATTGGGAACCGATGACATGTGTCAACCAAGTCAGCGAGCCTGACCACCCAATCCCGTTTGTCGCCTCTTACGACAAGCATGGGTTGCTGAAGATCAATATTCTAACCGGGACCTTCACGGGTTCCACACCATCAGAAAGTAATACAGGGGCGGATACAGCTTTTTGAGAAAGTGGGGTTACACGGTTCATTTTCACCGATTTCACAACTTTCAATGGTCATTTGATAACCTTTCAGGACAAAAAGTGTGTGTGTGAGTGCGTGCGGTGCGCGTGCGCGAGCGCGCACCCCTGCACCCCCATCTGGATCCGCCTATGTGATGACACACTGTCAACAATGATTAACTGACCTCCTGATGCATTAGATAGCCTGTTACGTGCAGTATGGGTTGAAAAGATATTCTAACCTGGAAACCAAGGGTTTTTACTAGGCATCTTGTCGCAGGGTGACTGCAAACACCTAGTTGTGGGTACAGCAACGATCAAGGGAACCAAAGCACTTTAAGCATGCTTGTAGATTGGATGGACTAGAGCACTATATAAATACCTATATCAGAGCTACAGATAACTTTTTGGGTCATTGAGTTATGTACTGGCTTGTGTTCATCTCTATTGGGTATCTTAATTTTCTTTTGAGTAACCAAATACACTGCACCCACCTCACTCAAACTCAATTGGGTATTTTGCCATTTTCCATTAATTGTAAAAAATATTACATATTGTCGGTTTATGTGTTTGGTATTTATATTTGACCAGTAATATGAGAAACTATAAGAAAGACTAAGTTGCCAAGTTCATGTGTTGAAATAGAACCTCTAAATACACCTCAGTTACTTTATCTATCCACCGGTATAAAAGCTCAGATTTGACATTTTTGTGTCTACGAGTGTAAGATGACATTTATTGAGTATTTACAAAAATCCAAGCGTACCTGTACGCAATAGACTTAAAAGGAATTGAGTTTTCATGTAAATATTTGCAAGATTTACCCAGATACGCAGCCTATCTGTACCTCTGCATAATAATAAAAAGGGTGACATCTTTTTTTGCTGGGGTTGGTTACTGGAGTATCTGAACATTTTATGCATCACAGAATTGTGCATCACAGTGTCTGTTCCTGTAGTGAAATTGGTCCTCAGACTATTATTTCTCTTGAGGAATTATTTCTATGGAACAGTTTTTCTAGATATATTTGACCTTTATACACATACTCTGGCAATATTTGTTCCAGTTTTTACTTATTCCATGTGGAAGTGATCATCGTAGACACATCCAGTACACAAAAATGTATAGATTGGACTCCATAAATTATATATTTTGCTTCTTGAGGACAAACAATAATTTTTTAGCCCTCCAAATTCATGACAAGAAATGTAAAGTTTTTGTAAATAAAGTATTATTAAATCTAACAGTATCCAACACCATTTCACTACTTCACTGCCTTTAAGGACCTTTTGTTTGTTGTTTATGCCATACTCAGCAATATTCTAGGTTAGTGCAGGTGTTCAACCTCACCTCAAAAAACTTGCAGGTGTTCAACCTCACCCCACAGACATGCAGGTGTAAAAAACTACTGACTGTTTCAAGGTATATTTGTCATTCACTTGATAGTCAGTTAATGAATTTATAACAGGTATAATTAGTGGTAACACCACTTGGCTCACCGGACCAAAGTTCACATTCATCATTTCTCGCGTTTGGTGTAAATAGTCAACATTATAAATTAAGGTGCATAAAAGTACAGCAACAGGAATTATAGATCAACAGAGTTAAAAAAAACATCGATCAAAGGATTAACCGATAACATGGTGATTGATTAATTACATTTTTTCTTGCCCAGCGGATTTGTCAAAAGGTAGTGTTTATGTATGTTTACACTGAATACACCCACATTCCGTCGTAAAGTGCCTGTGTAAAACAACGCCCTTCCTTCAAAGAAATTAAGATTGCTCATTGTTGTCTAACTAAAGTATTTTTAAAGAATGGTGGACATCATGCAAATAGTAGTCAGATGTGCTATCTTTGATGACCAATGAGACTCTTCACCAATGTGAAAAATGTGAAACAATCACGTGACCAGTTGAACAGTAGTGGGGTTAATTCAATTTCATTTTTTTATCACTTTATTTCTTTATGATGGGTACATAATTATTGCGTCTGTGGTGCATGCAAATATTTCTAAGATGCTTGGGTGAAAGATCAAAGGCGCCGACAGTACTTTATCTACGAGAATGTGCACTTTTTGCATTACGTCGCAATGTATTCGCGTCACTGCGCCATTCTAGTCTGCCCCCTTGTAATCGAACATGCGCATTACGTCACAATGTAACCGACGTCACGATGCATGTCAGTTGTCATCGCCTCGTACAGCCTCCTACAGTAAACTATTCCGTTGCCTACCAGTCTTAACCCCCTTGATGCCGAGTTTTTTCAGGCGCACATTTTCATACGGTTTGAAAAGTGAACGTTGTGCGAGAATTGCGCTTGCGTGGTCCTGGATCTACGTACGGCTATAAAATTACACAGAAATGTAGAATATTAAATTTCCTATCCGTGGGTATAAATATATATGCAAATACCTCGGCGGTTTGGGAAATAAACACTGCTAAATGATATCCAAACTTTGCTATGCGTTAAAAAACAGTAAATTTCTCCGCTTTTGATCGTGCACCGGTAAAAGCACTGTGCTACGATTTTTTTAATTTGGCATCTTTACGGAAAGTGTGAGCGAAGAAATTACAGCCTGATATCTGAACGACATAAGTATGTATGAAATAGGTTTATTTGCTTATGCATAGCGTTATACGCTCAACATTAAAAATGACTCGCAATAAATGTCAAAAATGGATTTTCTTCTATGACGTCAAACGACGATAGAGAGGTCGTACACGTATAAAAATAAGGGGGCATAACTCCGCTATGCTTAACACTAGGAGAGAATTCGTTGTGGATACGGACTCTATATTTTCCTTATGTTTTGTTCACCGTGAACCAAACTACATGTATTCCAATACAAAGTTCCCCAATGTGAGCGGATACGTTTTAGTAGTTTCAAAATTTATAAGAAAAGATGACAATGTACTATATGAGAAAGCACGTAAAAGCGATTTGGATGGCCCTATCCGATATGTAAATTAGTTCTTAAATTCACATATTTTCCTGTTTGTGTAGATGTATTTTGACTGATTTTGCATCATTATTCACCGAGTACTAGCCATATCTTCAAATGTAATGAAATTTCTGAAAAGATTACAACATTGTAGTTGACGTCATTGCTTGTCTTATGTATTTTGCGACGTCGGAAAAAGACGACATTGGTATGCTGATCAGTATACAACAGTATCTCACATAATGTCCATGAATTGTGTAAATGGTTTCGGTTTCTATGTCTGAATTCAACACTCTTGCGACAGAACTTAAAATGACTGATTTTACCATTTAAATAATGTCCTGAATAGATCCATAATTAGACGGTTTGACTTTGTATCTTAATATGAACAACACACGCACCTGTTTGGCATCAATTGGACGTAAATTAAAAAGATTATTTCACACCCCTGGCCCCGGGGTCATGAAAGTTAAATCGCTGTTCATAACCTGTTCATATGCAACTGTAATATTGGTCCGAATGGCGAATATTGCACATGATACAAGAACTATTTAAGTACATGTTGCAGTTACGCCTTCGTTTGTTCTTCTAATACTTGTTTAAGGGTTTAAAATATGGTGTACTACATTCAGTATATCAATTTCTTATGTAAATATTATTCAAACAAAGAAAACCCTTGAAAGAATGAAAACCGCATACCCTATATCCAAGGATATGATATAGAACAAGGCTAAATGTAGATAATGAAATTAGTTTCATGAAAAAATATCTGAAAGATACTCAAAATATACACTGAAAGTGTAATCGGTGGAACATGGCGATTGTGTTTACTCATATTCAACCGACCTTCACCTCAAAGAAATTGCCAACAATGTTGACGTATATGACATCACAACCGTTGACCGATTTCTTACAAAATGGCGGCTTCGGTGACATGGGTATACAGGATTTTGCGAGGACCTTTCCTTTGATTCGGGGATCGTTTGTACATAAATGTGTGATGTAAGTAATCAGAATGATTCTGACTATCTGTGTATTGTTACATGTCTTATCGTTTTCATTGTAAGTAAGAGGAGAAGCCAGGTATGCCGATCATTACCGTTGTTGTTCTGCGACATTTTCCGTCAGTCATGGCATCACGCTGCACAGAAACTTTGATATATTTGTATTAACATAACGCATTACTGTATTGTATCTATTTTTAATGTGCTATTTCTTGCTACGATACTCTTTCCATGTAAGTTCTAAAACTATTGAGCCTATGCATGCTCAGTGTAAAGTCTGAAGTTTTCTGTGTTTACAAGTCAACAACAGCTGTATTTCGCGCAGCGTTCGTTTTCATGCCCAATAGATCTTTCGTTTCGTATCACCTAGACACAATTGGTTTTAGTGATAAAGACCATTTCTTATTTGATACTAAAATGTATGAGGAATTCAGTGATGCATTTGTCGCAGCTGAATATGAAATAAACGTG